AGTGGGCAGAGAGGACCAGTGGAACAGTGGGTATAGAAGACCAGAGGAACAGTGGGCACAGTGCTCACAGAGGACCAGAGGAACGGTGGGTGTAGAAGACCAGAGGAACAGTGGACACAGAGGACAAGTAGGTACAGAGGAACAGAGGATCAAAGGTACAGTGGGAACAGAGGACCAGTGGGTAGAGAGGGCCAGTTTACCCTTCTGGTACATCCATCTGTTAATTATTAGTTATTTCAGAACCCGGTGTACGAGAGACCAGCCGAGAGACCAGGCGATATAGTGAATAAATTATTATTTATTATTATTAGTAAGCTTTTACAATGAAGGGTTGAATTTCAAGCTCACTGAACGCAGCCATGATTTTTTTGCTAATTTTATACTAAGCACGATTTTTCTTTTTGATAAAAAAAATAGTGAAGCAAGGCCAGGAAAATTGTGATACATTTCATCATCACAACAGTAAAGCACGCTCGTCTTGTTTTAATTAAAAGCTTTAGTGCTTTAATCAATGACACTGGATTGAGTGGTCTCCTATCTTAGCTCCCATAAGAATCAACTGATTACAATCAATCATTTACAAGAATTATTTTATACTGTACTACAGTATTTTCAAAGTTCTGTCAATGCCTCTTTTTGTCTAAGGCTTTTTAAACATGAATTTATTTACTTTAATGAGAAATTGTTTAGCAGATATCGTAGAGGAAAAACTCTTGATGTCTATTGTTTGCTTTTTGGAACAAATGCAGTTAGGTATTACCCAAAATGATACCTTTTTTCCAACTAATGCCTGTAATTTTTTCTACCGTCGATCATTTATAATTTCGTAAATATAACAATGGAGGCTATTTCGGGAAAATTTAGCGATTTTCCTTGTGTCTTCGCGTTGCATTCTGGGTATCGAGAACTAGCTGGGTCATTAATAATTCCCCTTACTGCCTGCCATTTAACTCTTATGATGTTACTTCAGAGAATTTGGCATTCATTTAGCATAATCTCCTAATTCGGATAGTTGTCTTTGTTCTCATCACCTGTCTGCTTANATACTTAAGAATTGTTTCATGCTTAGCGTGCGTATATCGAGTTATGGATGCACGCGGGGAGTTTGGAGAGCATGAGAGAAGCTCATGCTCTCCTAGCTTCTTGAGTGCTCTCCAAACTTCCCAAGTGCATCCATGACTCGATATACGCACAGCTAAAAGCATGAAACAATTCTTTTATAACATACGACAACAATTTGGGCGCTGAAAGACGTTTTATTATTTGGATTTATTACAAAGTTCTCACAAAGCAGTACAAAGGCGTTCATTGGCTGGTTATAAACACGCCACAATTACTTTAGCGACAGTTGTTGAACGGAACGCTTCATCTAATTTCTAAAATTTTCAATGAAAAAGTCGTTTCTTCGAAAGTGAGTGAATTTTTTTAAAAAAGTCAAACTCCTCGATGAAAATGTAACCAAACAAAGTCAAAGTACACAAGTTTTGGTAAACAAGCTTGGTTGGTAATAGTCAAAGACCAGAAGTGGTGGGATTTGCATTGTTGAAAACGATGTTCACATTGCCTTGTACAGTGCAATTAGAGAGCTTAAACAGCAGACGTTCTTGACAACTCGAACGGCAGAGAAGCCGCGTAAGACTGGATCGAGGACTTCGTTCTTGGCGCGAAATAGGAAGGTTAAGCAGTCGACGTTTTTTCAGACACGGACTTCTACCCGTGTTAACATGTCTTTGCTAAAAGATGCTAGAGATAGGACCTTAATGAGCATGGGAATAAGTTTCTTTACCCCACTTGCTTGACAGAATGAATAACTCGTCTTTCATATTTTAGGCGACTTGAAATTTACCACTTCATAGTTGTGAAAACAATTCGAACAAACGAGCGAGCATGAAGTTTTCAGTGCATGATCTGGATGCCTAGAGGACCATTTCTCTTTTTCTAAACTCGTTAACCGGAGCGAGATTTGCTATTCTTATGTTTGTAATCGGTTGCTCAAAACCTAGCAGGCATGCATACGATATACAATGTGCAGTTACAAAATACAACCGATGCAGAAAGACAATCATCTATCTCATTTTGCGCTTTGTTATTGTTTCTAAATGTCGCTTAAGTGTCTTAATTCTAAATCATCGCTCAAAGTAATTTGTGATAAGCTTTAACCCGGTTTAAAAAAATCTTAGTTCTGCATGTGATGATTCAAATGGACATGAAATCAAATGACTTAACTCACCCAGACTTGGCGAGAAGATTGTCTGCCATTGTCGAATCCCGTTTAATCTATCGATTAAGCAAAAACCACTTTACGCGCTACGAAAACGTTTTTTAATCACTTAATGAAAAGCAGAAGAGCTTTTTATGGTTTTGAGTCAATAATTTATCTCCTATAAACAAAATAACAGCATATTTTTGTGGCGTCCTACCTTCAACCTGAAAAGTGGCGTTCTGGCGTCTGCGACGTGACCACGCGAACGTCATGACATGCGCAGTATGTACATAGTTCCTCTAATGACTTCCGGTAGGCGTTCGTGACCTCAAGAACGTCTGGTGCTTAAGCTCTCTAATAATGACGAGGCCGCCAGTTTAAGTCATGACCCAACATATGAAGTATGATGTGAGATGTAGGGAGAAAGGAAAAAACAAGCAAAGCTCCCTCAGTGACTGTCGTAATCGAGGAATGAGGCATTTGACAAATACAATCGTTTCAATCACTTTTTCAATCTCTCTCAACCAACTTTATTAAACGAGGAGCGTGTGTGCATATCAACAATTATGCTCCCCTGGGCGAATACCATTTTACTCGGCACTTAAACACGAAGGCGCGCTATAAAAGGAGCCTTAAGTCCCACTGGACCATTTGTCAATCAACCGTCGTGTGATGTAGAACTCTTAGAGTCAAGTCAGCTTGAGCTACAGCTACTCCAAAGCAGTGAACAGCGGGCGCATTCCTCAAAATTGTTTTATGTCTTCATCGCAATACAAGAATTTTTGAGATTTGTATTTCCTTTCTCCAATGGAAACTGTCTTTATTTGTGGCGGTAAATTTGAGATCGAAGTAGGTGGTTCGCACGTTACCTCATGCCACCATGCTGGTGGAAGTAAACAATAGATATCTCATTAGCTC